TGCGACATATTTTTTATCTGAAGCTTTGGTCTGTAGAGATAAAAATGAAATAGAGACGCTCTTTGAAATTGCAGTGTCTGGTAGCAAATGGAGCATAAAGTTTTTTCGCAGATTAAGTTTTAGCTTTACGTTTCTGTGTTGGACATAAAGACAAATTAATGATGGGGCATATCGAAAGAGCTTTGTGGGAATTTGTCAATCTATTGGCAGCCTCTCAGCCTTCGAGTCTGTACTATTTAATATTTCTAGTCCTAATTAAAAGTGATAATAACGTGGGTTCTAGTCTGGGTGATTATGACCCATCAGTATAAAGTTTGACATTTTTGATAGGGTTTTTCTTTGCGTTTTCAACTAGAGGTAGAGACACTACACCTGCAACCTGACATGACTATTCAGTTCTATAGCCTGGACCCGTACTAACTCCTTCTCATTCAAACTGAAAGGTTTTGAGGTATCGTGAATTATCACTGCATAAGCTGGGTTGATGGATTGAGAAATGGGTGAAAGTATTATAACGTCTAAAGGATCAACCCCAAACCCTAATAATACATTGTTTTGCTCAAGAAAACACCCAATAAGTTATCGGACCCTTCACCTTATCGTGTAGGGCAAAATATGCCAACGGACACCTTTAACAAAATTGGACAATGCTGGCGTATGTCCTAGCTTACTGTCACTCGCATACAATATATTAAGTACGGAGGAAGCAATTCTAAGGATATTCTTCCAAATTCAGGTGTGCCTCAGGGCTCATGCCTTGGTCCTCTGCTTTTCATCGCTCTTATTAATGACATTGTTAACAGTATAATAATAATAAACGGCTTTATTGGCGGAGTTTAGCACAGCTATTCTTACACTCAACCTTTCTTAATGTTAATTTGACATACAAATATGGTATTTTACATATATATACTAAGTGACATATAAATCCGAACACCCAGTTTAAATGATTTTATTTTAATAAAATTTTGTATAAGTACTTAATGAAGCATAATAAGTAAATGATAAAAATATCAAAATGATTGCACTGCTTTAAAGCCCTTTGACCTTTAATAATGTGTGGATGCAACCTGATGTGCTACGCATTCTCCAACGCGCCTAGGCATGTTTCTGATCAGGTGGTCAATGTCCTCCTGTGGTATCCCATTCCAGGCAACCACCAACTCCTCTCGAAGTGCTTCTAGAGTCTGAGGAGGACGTTGCAAATTGAGCAGTCTCCTATCCATCATATGCCACACATGCTCAATTGGGGATAAGTCGGGAGATCTTGGTGGCCATGGTAACAATGTGACATCATTATGTTGAAAGAAGTCTATTGTGACTCTTGCAACATGTGGTCGGGCATTATCTTGTTGGAAAGTTGGATCTGCCAGGGTGTCAAGATAGGGTAAAAGATGGGGTTCTAGAACTTCGTGGATATAACGCTGCGCGTTCATGTTACCTCTGATGAAGATTAAAGGTGACCTGGAACCATAAGCTATAGCACCCCAAACCATAACTCCAACAGTGTGATGAACATGTCTTTCAACAAGAAACTGTGGATTCCTCCTTTCACCACGTCGCCTTCTAACCATGGCACGACCATCGTGCATGCCTGAACAAAATCGAGACTCGTCACTAAAGACAATACTGTTCCATTCCTGATCCCAGAGTGACCGTTGTCTGCACCACTCAAGGCGATTACGTCGGTGTTCTCGAGTTAAAGGGAGGACCCAGTGTGGTCGGTATGAAAACAAGCCAAAACTTCTCATTCGTTGGTAAACACTTCGCATGCCAACAGGTCTTCCGTGTTCTGCAAACCATTCATTTGCAATGGACCTGGTAGTGGAGAAACGGTCCCTTAAGGCCAATAATCTTAGGCGGCGATCTTCACGGTCTGTTGTTCTACGGCGGCGTCCAGTGCCCCTTGCTCTTTGCGTACGGCCTTCTCGAAGCCATGCCTGACAACACCTAACCACAGTGTCTACACTTCTTTGCACTCTAACTGCAATTGCCCGAAAAGAAAGTCCAGCTTCCCGAAGTCCCATTATACGGCCCCTATCAAATTCACTAAGTTGACGAAATCGTACAGGTCTCCGTACTCTAGGCATCGTAACCGATCGTAAAGGATGTCAAGAACCAAAATCCGCCAACGTTGATTCTTTACTGCGACTGAAATATTCATTTTTAGAGCGTTAGTGAATTTAAAAAAAGCAGTATAAAAACCGGAATGTCCAACTGATAAGGCTGAAAATTTTTTCACTTGTTATTTACAGTAAGATAAACATTCACCAACTTTTATTAAAATATAACCATTTAAACTGGGTGTTCAGTACATGTATTATTTACTATCATTTCTTTTGATACAAGAAGAAATATCGATTGTTGCCGTTATGCAGGTTACTTGACATTGATGTGTAATGAATAGTCTCCCAATCAACAGCAGTAAATGTTGTGTTATATAATGCACAAGACAGATGGTTCCCATTCAATTTAATCATCAAATCGATAAATATCCTTTGTAGAGAGAACATGAGCATAATGACCTCGGTGGCAATTCTCCAATATAGAGTAAATTCTTCTAACTGCTAACAGATCATTGTGGTGTGTGGTACACAATTCCAAGGTTTTAATTTGAGATCCCTACTTACAAACATGCGTACGATCAGTAATAAGAGCTAATTTGTTAAGCCAAAATTCAATCTTGGCAGTCAAGATCCGGCTGTTCTCAAACTGACCACTAGATTAACACGGCTGCATCACTTGTAATCAATGTTCACTGTGTTTCTAAGCAAAAAACAAAAGAAGTTTTCCGAGCTGTCTGAGTAGCTGTAGAATCCTACGGGACTTCTTGAGATGCCCTGCGGGAGGCAGACCTTTCTGTATCCCGAATACGATATACGTAGATATAGTACGAGCCCCTTCCCACTTGAGTTGGCCCACTTCAAGATTTGTACCAAAATATGCCTCATCAAATAATATGGAGAAAATCGAAACGTTTTGTAGCGTGATTGACGATTGTATGACGAGATGCTTGGACATAACATATACGTGAAATACGGCTATCGTCATTTGTAGATTGATGCATTCGTCAAACGATCGTGGACGGTGGCCATACCGTTTCCGAGATCCCAGTGGTGAAAGTCGTGTTTCAAACACTCTTTATTAGCAACCACATCTTGTTATAGTGGTAATAGTAATAGCTTATTATTCTTTTCGATACATACAATGTATAGAACTCATCAAAATGAATACAAAAGTTAAAATGTAAGAAGAATAGACATAAATAATCTACAAACAATTTGAATCTTACAAAATGCAATATTCCGAGGCAGCGTAATAGAATTCTTTTATGAGAAACTGCTCAAGTTTTGTTTTAAAAAAGCTCGTATCTTTGACATTTCTTACGTCTGCTGGCAAACTCTTGACAATTTTTCGCCTTGAATACCTTAGAGATTTCATGGAAACATTGTATTTCACAAGACGTACATATAATTTTTTATTTTTTTTATATATTATTATTATATATTATTTATTTGTCATGTATTTAGTTCATCAACATTTTTACGTACGTTAACAATTCACATACGAGCCTCTTCCCACTTCAGTTGGCCCACTTCCAGATTTGTACCAAAATATGCCTCTATAAACTAAACATGACGAAGCTATTTATTTCTAAAAGAGTTTATTTTCTCAAAAACATTTTAGATACACCCTAGTCTTGAAAAAATACACAATGTGCGAATAATCCGCGAAGTTAACAAAGCAACAATTGAAAGATTACCATTGGGTATCATCACCTTAATTTTTTATTACGGCTGAAATTCTTTGGGGCATAGTGTTAACAAGTTTTAGCAAATTTTGGTGTAAAACAATCCCATATTTTATTAAGCTTTTGTCTCAGTTCGGTGATTGTACGCGCAGGATGTTGTCGTAGAACCTTTTTCATCTCGTGCCACAAAGTTTCAATAGGTGACAGATCTGGACTGCTAGAAACCCATTACAAAAGTGGTACATTATTTTCTTCCATCCATTTTATAGCCTTTTTCGAGGTATGGCACGCTGCTCCATCTTGCTGAAACACAAAATCTTGGCCGGATGTCACACATTCTTCCTTCACTGGTAGAAGCGATTTTTCTAAAATTGCCAAATATTTGTTTGTATCCACATTTCCATCAATAAAATGAAGTTTTCCTACTCCTTTTGATGACGTACTGCCCCAGACCATAATGGATGCTGGAAACTGTACTTTTCTCTTCAGACAGTCAACATGGAATCCTTCATTTTTTTTGCGAATAACTCTACTGCGAATGTCACCAACACAAACTTCGAATCGGGCCTCATCACTCCATTGTATTGCACAACATTGTTGACGTAGGGAAATTTCACCATACCTGATAAACTTGGTGGAAAGCTACTTCCAAGACAGAAAGCTTCTCCTAACGAAGAGAGAAACGAGGGACATCTGCGCGGGAGTTCCTCAAGGCTCAGTCCTTGGGCCTCTTCTGTGGAATGTGCTTTATGATGGTGTTCTGGGGAATAAAATGCATTGCGTACGCTGAGGATCTGGCGATCATAGCGGAGGCGAACTATTCGAAGGAGCTGGAAATCATCACGAACGAAGCGTTGGCAAGAATCAGCGAGTGAATGGCAGCAGACAAGTTGCGACTTGCCCCACAGAAGACGGAAGCCGTGATACTGACGGGATCCCGCAAGAAAAGCTCGGTGAATTTCCAATTCCTTGGCACGAAGATAGTGACAAAGAGACACCTCACGTACCTGGGAGTCGTGTTAGATGGCAAGTTGAAGTTTGGAGAGCACGCTCGTCAAGTCATCAGGATGGTAGATGCTAGGATGGCCCAGCTATCAAGAATACTACCAAATATAGGAGGTCCAAGCAGTCATAAAAGGACGGTCCTTTGTGAGGTAATCCACTCCGTGGTCCTGTACGCAGCTCCTCTATGGCACCGTGTGGTCCAAGTCCAGAGATATACACAAATGCTCTTGAGTATCCAGTGCTGCGGATATCGAGCGGCTACAGAACAATGTCCACTATGGCCGCTCAAGTAATAGCTGGAATACCCCCAGTCACTCTGCTCATAGAGGAAAGGCTCCGCCTGTACAGCAGGGATGATGCTAAGCTTCGTACTACCAGGTTGCTGGAAAGAAGCACAACTCTGGAGAAATGGCAGCATGTGTGGAGCGACCACTCAGAGACGGCAATGTGGAGCAAGACTCTGATCCCGGACGTAAGACAGTGGGTTAGCTGTAAACATCGAAGGCTAGACTTCTACTTGACCCAGTTTCTATCGGGCCATGGATACTTTGGGGATTACACCAAAAGAATGGGAATCACGGAGGGCAGCATCTGCGGTTATTGCGGAGAGGAGGACTCCCCGGAGCACACGATCTTTGTGTGTCAAAGATGGGCCGCATGGAGGAGCAATACAGAGTCAGTTATCGGTGCGGAGGTCAATAGCAGAAGCATCACCATACTCATGATGAAAAGTAAGGAGAACTGGAACACAATACAGAGGTTCGTTCGTAATGTGATGAACGCAAAGCGCAGGGACGACATTTTGCACTAGCAGAAGAAACGAGCATATCCGCTGCGAATGCATCTGAAGACATGCCGCCCTAGGACCACTAAAAAAAACACCATTGTTGAGGTCTCCATTGTCTATGTTCTTTAGCCCATCCAAGCCGATTTTTTTTTGCAGTGGAGTTAATAGTGGCTTTTATTTGGCCTATAAACAAGTTGTGCAACTTTAGGGTTTTTACTTCACTTTTTTTTATAAGAAAACTTACCTTACAAGTGCTAAATCCCAGTTTGTGGGCCTCTCTATGAGTTGTGGACCTCGAAATTCTCCTTCCAACAGCGTCACTCTACAGAGCACTTAATTGTAAATAATTGGCACGCCTGTTTTTCACGATTACTCTTCTTAATGCTCTTCGGTCGACATTTGTGATATTACTTTTTTTCACATATCGTGGCTTAATATTAACTGAACCGGTTACGTTATATCTTCTAACAATATTTCTCACACTGTACCGTGATAAGTCTAACAAAGTTGCAATTTCTAAGTTTGATTTCCCAGAATTAAAAAATTTAATTATCAGTAACCGAATTTTCTCACTAATAACCTTTCCTCTATTCATTTTGAAAACCTTAACTACCCAAAACTGTTTTAAACGTATTCTGACAGATGTGATTAATAAAAACAGTTGTCAGTTGTGCAACACCTATGCGTTATAGACTTATTTTGCATTGAAATGAAAATAGGTTGATGTGCTGTGATTGCAACATGTGTTATTTTTATGCTGCAAATTTGATTAGGGAGTGATAAAGTTGGTGGTTTCTACTATATATTATCAAAATATTTATTGTTAATATTTTAAACCTATAACACCCTGCTACATTTTTATTATTCGTGTTTGATAAGAAAGAAACTAAGATTTGAATAGTTGGGCCAACTGAAGTGGGAAGGGACTCGTAAATACCCATTTTTCGGTAGACTTACTATCAATACAAAATTATTCTTCTAATCACATCAACTTATATAAATTTCTTGTAATCAATTGGAGTTGGGGTCTGAAAAAACACGGTTTTCTGTTAAAAAGTTGTTGTCGTGTCGGAAAAATTTATTTCCTCCGTCAGGGCATATTTCAGTTAGAAACTGTGGTTATCAAAAATAAATTATGTGTATAGCTATACCCTGTAGCAGCCTTTCATCGTCATACGAAATAGTCATCAGAACTTCAAGCATACACCGAAGATACTCAACAATATTCTAGTTTTCACTCCATATGCTCGTATTGCCGAGCTTACTGTTAATAATGAGCTGAATAGAATCAAAACACTTTCACAGTCACATAAGTAACCACTGATTTTCTAAAGTTGAGTGAAAGAGCACGCAACGTAAACTCCGCCTTTTGGTTAACCCAAAACAAAACATTTATTATCATTTGGTTAAAATTAGCTTGTTCAAAATTCAGTTAAAAAATTTCTCAAATGTAGTAAATGGAAGGTTGTCATAAAAATACGTCAAAATAACGCGGAATGGCCTGTTGTATCGTTGGCCCCAGGCATATTCAGTGAATGATTTCCTTGCCGTGAGAGTTATGTAGCTATAAATAAAAGCGGGAGTTGTCGGTATGTGGTGAAGAACAGGGCGATACTCCCGAGTCTCGGAAGTTTGGAATACTGAGGAGTTACATGTTCGACGACAGCTTAAATAATATATGTGCATGGTGTAAAACGTGCAGTGCACTGAGGATTTGCTGTGATTTATCAACTGAAATGGACGTATTTCCAGGAAAAAGTTATTCTCTACTTTACTGAACAACCTAACTCTCACTTTGATATAGGGTATACTCCAATGTTTAAGTCTCAAGGAATTTCTAAAGATACAAAATTTGAAACAGCTGTGTTTCATGAATATCCTGATCACAACATGACCTGTGAGCAACAAACATCCAAACAGTCAGACAAAGACGAAGCGATAAAATTGAATGACACATTCCTTGACTTTGTCTGGTTTCTGGGCAACCAGGACTGACAGATTCGACTAACGTACATCAGACAGTGACTAATGGGCAAGGGCCCTACGGACCGCCCAGACAAATAAATGACGAATAGTAAGTGAATGACACAAATTTTTATGAGGACATAACGTCCAAGAATGCTGTTACCCAAGTTGACAGACAACAAGTATAATGTTTATAGGTTACTGTCCTTACACGGTGGTACCGTGGTACGTGCCCATGAAGTGGCGTGGTGCACCTAGAAAACGATTGGAGGTAGTAGTAGTAGAAATATTTATTTAGCACATTTGGCTACATAAACAGAATAATTGTAAACAACTTGGAACTACTAAATTCAAGCCATATGGTGTATGATGTAAATGCTGGGCAACCTATAATAATTGTAGATTTCACAAGTGGTTTCTCAATTTTAATTTAAATTTTGTCAAACTTTTTAAGTATATGCATGTGCAAATGCAAACTAAAATTTGTTGTCCAGTGTTGTCTGTAGAAAATTGAAGCTAAAATTCGTAAAATTGAGCGTTTTCAAAAAAAAAAGAAAATAGTGCGTACTATTCTTCTTTGGAAAAGTAATGGCACTAGTCACCTGTATCTTCGCCACTGGTGCACGTGAAGACTTTTTAATGCGCGCAATACTCAGATAAATCCACAAACCAAATTTTAGTCATTAAAGTTGACGGTTTTGAAGATATTAAAAAATATTGCTTAGAAGAAACCCCTTAAAATGCGGTACTGTACATTTTTGCGAATCACCCTGTATATGGAATATTGCTCTTCGCGCTATCCTGGATACTCGACTCCTCCCAATTCTCACCCTATTGCGAACTGCGGTTGCCGTCGATTGCTTTCGCTACAAAAGCTCCTTTATAGTTATGGCGGGAGTGCGGCGTTAAAAATCTGGCGGAAGCGCCTCGTCCAAAATCCGAACTGCACCTTCTTAGCAGCACGATCGCGGCCCGCTATCGATCGCACCCTGCAGCGCCCTCTCGCGGCCGCCCTATCACGTCCGGTTTTGCCGCGGAACGGCGCAACAAACCACCGTCATTCCACGTTTGACAGGCCGAGCCGCGCTGGCACGGTCGCATCGCGTGGCCAGTCGCGCGCGATCCTAGTGACAGTTCGGGCAGTGGGTATGTGATGCCAGTGATCCTGCGACTGCTCCTGCTGACCTGAAGATCACCGGGTGACCGCTGCAAAGGGCAGGTCGAGGCCTGTCGAAAAGGTGAGAGGGTTTGTTTGAGCTTAAGTTGTTATGGAAGCTGTCCTGTTATTTATGCAGCTGACAGGTTCGAGATGGTTGAGGATGTTTTAGTCAGCACGAATGGGTTTCCTGGTGATGTGAAAACATATTGAATGTATGCTGGAAGGTGACATGTCTTATGATTTCAACTGGTGACAGATTCAGAACAGACGAAGATATTCTTACCGTAGATGATCTAGTGACACGACATTTTCAAGGTAGAGGTCATTGTGTTACAGTACTCAAATATGTATTGAATATATTAAGAAAGATACTTCATTATTTCAACGATCCGTTCAAAGAGACTGGGATATCGATACGTCATAACGAATGGTTAATCTAGTACCGTGATATCTTGAAGCTAGTATTCGTTGTCATGTCTACAGATTTATCACACGCATTTAAAAGATACCATTTGACTTCAACTGTTGACAGCGTCAAAGCGACGTATTCTTAATCTAGAGATGATGTTTCAGAGCCAAGGTCGCTGCAACGATGCGTTGTGTCGTTGCAATTATTGTGTATGTGTTTAGCGTTGATCAATAGTGTACGAATATATTGTTCATAATGTCACGACGTTGTTGAGAGCTTTTATCCATATTCGCTCCCCATAGAGATATCATAAAGTACGTATTACAGTTGTTTTGAATATTTTATAATGTTTACATCTCGAGCATCCGTTTCTGCAGTCTGTCGGTCGGATTGTTTGTTGAGGTCTTCTGCATCCGCATCGTCTCAGCATCCGTTATTCCGTCCTTCTGGGGCAACTAGAGTCAATATATAACAGTGCTCTAAACTTGGATCTCATTAAATTATTTATTAAAGATTTTTTGGCATGACAAATTTTCTTCCGATTATTCGGTGCTGATACAATCTACTTATCTACAATTTTTAAATAAAGTCAAAGGGCAATATGAGATAATAATAATGTAGTATCGGATATGACAGAAACAGAATTAGCTAAGCTGCAACCAATTTTGTAGCTTTTGTTATTATTGTAGAATTATTGAGGAAGGAATAAGATTTTTTTGAAAAAAAAACTATGCTCTACGAGTCGGCAATACGCTTCAATAATATACTAAGCGACATATAAATCCGAACACCCGGTTTAAATGGTTTTATTTGAATACAAGTTGGTGAATGTATTTATCTTACTGTAAATAACAAGTGAAAAAATTTTCAGCCTTATCAGTTGGACATTCCGGTTTTTATACTGCTTTTTTTTAATTCACTAACGCTCTAAAAATGAATATTTCAGCCGCAGTAAAGCATCAACGTTGGCGGATTTTGGTTCTTGACATCCTTTACGATCGGTTACGATGCCTAGAGTACGGAGACCTGTACGATTTCGTCAACTTAGTGAGTTTGATAGGGGCCGTATAGTGACACTTCGGGAAGCTGGACTTTCTTTTCGGGCAATTGCAGTTAGAGTGCAAAGAAGTGTAGACACTGTGGTTAGGTGTTGTCAGGCATGGCTTCGAGAAGGCCGTACGCAAAGAGCAAGGGGCACTGGACGCCGCCGTAGAACAACAGACCGTGAAGATCGCCGCCTAAGATTATTGGCCATAAGGGACCGTTTCTCCACTACCAGGTCCATTGCAAATGAATGGTTTGCAGAACACGGAAGACCTATTGGCATGCGAAGTGTTTACCGACGAATGAGAAGTTCTGGCTTGTTTTCATACCGACCAGACTGGGTCCTCCCTTTAACTCGAGAACACCGACGTAATCGCCTTGAGTGGTGCAGACAACGGTCACTCTGGGATCAGGAATGGAACAGTATTGTCTTTAGTGACGAGTCTCGATTTTGTTTAGGCATGCACGGTGGTCGTGCCAGCGTTAGAAGGCGAC